AGTACATCAATCAGAGTATGCTAAAGTATGTTAAAATTTAGTATACTAAAGTATTTTTTTTTTTTTTACTGCGGCCGTCATCGGTACATGATGTAATTCACCAGATATTTGTATTTGAAAAGACTGCAATTATTTTTTGTTGGTATAAACACAATAATGTGCTTAATAATCATTTTGATGATCTGAACTTATATACAGATTCATGTTAGTCACCGACATGACAAAGGCAGCGATGTAATGTAGCTTGGTGTGTGAGAGTCAATGTACATTTATAATTTATATAATCTAGATTAATCTTCCAAGCAGATTATTGGCTTATTTTTGTTTTCTAAAACCATTAATGCTAAAAGATTTAACCTTCATTTACTATAGCCACGCTTATAAAATGAAAAATATTAAGTTACAAGAATACAGTCATAAGTATTGTAAAAAATAATGTTATATTGCAAGAAAAAAGTTGTATTACAATAAAGTCACAGCATTACGAAAATACATTTATACTAAATAAAGTAAAAAAAAAGAGAGATTGAAGTTGTAGTGTTATGAGAACAGTCATATTATGACTTCATTCTCCAAATATTGACTTTGTCACATTATTCACTTTCTCATTATTTCAACTCATACAAGTTTATTCTTGTAAATTGATCATTTTATTATTTTTTCTCAGTATAACCCTGATCCTCTGTCATAGAATCCCAATTATTGACTACACAAAAAGTTAATTGTCAGATCAATCAAAATTCACAGCTGGACCAAAAGGTCTCTTTTTAAATGTTTTTATTTGCTGCCTTTTAATACTTTTTGGTGGTTCATAATCATTTAGAGCTTGAATGCAAACAAATTTCATCTTACAAATGTATTAAATTTCCCAGCATAAAACATGAATTAACACAAATAAAAACTATGGAAAGTGATAAAGAGAAGCACAAATTAAAAAACAAAATGTGACAAATCACTGAAAAATCTTACTGAATTTGATAGGAACAGTATCTAGTTTAAGCAACAAAAAAAAAGAAAAAAAAATCTAATTTTGATGGATTTTCTTAAAGTGTTGATAGAACAAGATTTATATTACATTAAAACTTACTGTTTTAAATAAGAAAAGTAGCAGAAAAACAGTAACACTGCTTGGGATTTTGAGAAGTCGTCTAGAAGAAACGGTGAAAAAAGGAGTCAGTGAGTCACTTTATGCTTTTTAACATGGTCCTTTTTGACAAAAACATATTTTTAGATCTCATAACAAGATGAAAAATTCACCTCATTATAACCAGAAGGTTTCTGATTTAACAAGTTTTGAGTTTCTCATTTTCTCAATATAACAAGATTGCTCCTGAATTTACAATTATTTATAATTTCTAAGCAATTTCCATATTGAAAATAAAGTTTGTGTTTTATTACAATATTACCAGTTGCAAATGAATAATAAATTAATGCAAACTGAGCAGAACTGTGTAAGTTGGTGCAAACAGAGATGGTGCAAACAGGTCGGATCAAAATAGTCAACTTTAATTTGTGTCAAAAACATTGACAGGGACAATTTGATACAAAAGGACACTGAAACTAATCTGTAACTCTGTAACTCTGTAAACGTGCACACACGCACAAACGCAGCATTGTGTATGCTGTTGCATGAGTCTGGTTCTCATAACACAGCAACATTTATTAGCACAGTGACTGAAATAATAATAGTTCTTTTGTTCTCATTTATATCCCAAACTGACTTTGCCAGAAAATAAAAAATCTAATTTTAGCACATAGTGTTATAAAAATCAGATTGAATGTCCTATTTCCCGAATAATCCGTCACATCCCTGACCCGTTATATTTTTAAAAAGCCATTTATAATTGTTCTCACATTATGCAAGCCACTGATTTCTACAACTACAACACAATTGATTTTTAAAAAAAGTTTAAAAGGTGCAAACTTTATCGAAAACCACCTGCACACCACACGTTCTTTCACCATAACACAAACGCACAACAATCACTTTACCTCACCAAGGCACTGCCTTCATCCTGCAGAGAAAAACACACAAATCACAGAGGGGCAGCGCCGCCAACTCTACTGTTCAGCTGTCGCTCGGAGTATAAGGTCAAACAAAATCCTAATAGTTCAGTGATTCTTGAGAAGAGGGACAAAATGGGTTTCAATTTTCTCCCCCCAAAAATGTAACTATTCCTCAAGCTTATGTATTCAAATATGACAAAAAATGTTTTGGAAATGTAAAGATGGTAAGGTGCAGGCTCCCAGTTGGAACATTTTTTTGAAAATTTAATTTTTAATGAACCTGACCCAGAACTTTGTCAGCACCATCTGACAAAAACAAATATAACATTTATTTTATATTTATTTTTTATAAATAAATATAAAATATTTATTTATAAATTTATTTATAAATTTTTTGCTATGGGCAGGCCCCAATTAAGATATAAAGAGACCGCTTATTGGGTGTAGAACAGCAAGTTCCTGCCATGCATAGGCAGGCCCCAATAACATAAGCCTACCAGAGCGGCCTAGCCATTTTTTTTATCATCATATACAACATGGTATTGGCATCCGATGGCATCCGATGTATACAAATCTAAAGAACCTGAAGAAGCCAACCCAGGCTGCTGGCTAGCCCTCTTAGCAAAGGAAGAGAAAGGAAGAGGTCATGGGGTCCTCAGAAGTTCTGATGCCCCCTCAATAATGTCTGATTATTTAAAATTATTTTTATGTCTGACGGTGTTGACAAAAACTTGGGACAAATTTCAATTGAGTTGCAAAATATATAAAAATGATTTTTAATTCAATTTATTGATACTTTTATAATTATTTATTTGAATACTTATACTTGAGATATATTATCTTAGTATCATTCCTTTATTTGTTTTAAACTATTATAATGTATCGAGTTCTGCTCCAGGACAAGGGATTATACAGACACCATCCACCTACTACAATGTTTAAAATGAAAAGTATTCAGCAAACACCAGGAAAACATACATTGTTCTGCTCACGTGGTCTAGGTTAGTTTAGTCAAATATTTTGAAAAAAAAAATAAATAAATAAATAAAAATAATACATTTTGTGCATATTTTATTCAAATTTTGTGCTTTATCCATAAGACCTGTTCTGTCCTTCTTCTCAAGAATCACTGAGTTACATGTTATAAACTGGATTTTAAGATAAAATATGAGATTAGTTATAAAAATTTTACACTTTAAAAGAAGTTTGAAGCATGAAACTGAAAAAATGGCTCATTTCAGATTAGAAATTCTACTTGTGACAAATATTTTTGTTTCAAACCAATTTTACAATTCAAGCACGAAATAATAAACGTCTATCAATAAAGGAAAAAAAAACTTTCCATCTTTTTAAAGTTATTTTTACCTTATTTAGGAGTTATTAACTAATCAAATGTGGAGAAATACAGTATGTATTTAAATAGGACAGGAAAAAAACATTAAGTTATAAATATGCACAAAACAAGGTTAAGATTTACAAAAATGTCACAATTCGGGGGATAATATTTGAAATAAAGTCTCTACCAGCCAGACAGAATGAAATTTACCTGTATCTTTATCCCTCCTAAACCCTTTTCCAGAACAAAAAATAAATATAAACATAAACACCCACACACATCAAAGTCCAATGCTTACGAAAGCAAAAAAAATTCAAATAAAATGGTTAGCTTACATAATTTAAGACAAAGACTTTACATGTACAACATTGCATGAGAAACATCTGATATATGGAGAAAATGCCTTATTGCTGATCTAAACTGAAAGCGGACAGTTTCTCCAAGCTTTGTAATCAAATATGAAGATGCAGGTTGATGCAATTGAAGCAGAAAAAAACATGAATGAAGGGTTTCAGTCAAGATGAAGATGACTGACTCCCTTCTACCTGATAGGTAACTGATTTAAGGCATGAGCAATACTGAGGCGATCTGAAGTGCATTTGCTGAAAAACAACAGGACATCCTTGTTTCTGCTTTCCTTTTTCCCCAAATCTAAAACTTCTACCTAATCTTTCCTAACACCTGCAACAACTCAGTGTGATCCGCAGCCCACTGTGTAAGCTTTGAGATTGAGATTAAAGCTCCATGTCTTCCAGCACGTGAACGTCTAACATCTGAATCTTCTGCTAGACATGTAAAGGAAAATAAAACACACCAGAACCTACACAAAGCCCTTCTAGAAACACACCTGTTCACATGTTTGAGTTAAGACTTCACTCTGATCCAAACACCTGCGACTGCGGCTGAACGCCGTGAGGACTGAGTAAGTCTGATCAGGATTAACTTCTTCTCAAAGCCGCAGCAGTCTGCACACATGGAAACAAACTTCTTGGCATTGCTGGTAAAAAAAAAAAAAACAAAACAAAAAAACAATTTACTTAAATCTTTTATTGCAGCAGCATAATCTCATCTAAAAAAATTAAGTACCCTACCTTTAAATTCAGAGAATTTATTATGTAGAGGAAAAAGTCGCTGTTTTAACATAATCTACAGAGGCATAATTGTTTTGAATTTATACATTCCCATTATGTTTTGACACTAGTATGTCCCACAGTGAGAAGGATGGTCAAAAAGGGTAAAGCTCACTGTTCAGACAACAGGGGCAAAATCTGGCATCTCCAAGTTGCCATAACAACCATTATATGCCATTTAACCAGCTGTTTGGGAGAAATGTCCTACCGTGACAAGAGATATGAAGTTTGCTAAAATTCTACTTGAATTTAATCTGGAATCATTTGGTTTGGTCTGATGAGACTGAAATCTCTTTCAAATCATAGTTCAATAAACAAGCGACCCTGACAAACTTGTTATTCACTCCTTCGTCTTCACTTTTGACCTGATACAAAACGTCAACGCTGACCCCACGATAGCATTCTACCGCTTACAGTTCATTGTGGTTTGTTGCTACCTCCTGAAGTGCAAACAAGAATAATATCAGTGGGTTGGTAAACAGTTGATCATAAGGCGTAAAAATATTTAGAAATCATAAAATGAGATAATCTCAAAAGCAAAAATAATCCAAACATTTAGCTGGGCGGAGGGGAAGCACCAGTAGCTGTGTTTCCATTTTAAATGTGAGTAAAACTTTGTTGGTATTCCGCTAATGTCAAAAAAACACAATTTTGCAATTGCAGTGCTTTCATTAAATAAAAAATGGAATTAAAAATCACTCATGAACAATAATTCATGCGCCATCACCCTCCAACTGCTTCCTTCTTCGTGGTTTGCGCCAGTGGCAGCATCCGGTCAAGGATCATTTGAGGATGAAATAGTGTTTCTGTTGCAGTTTTGCAAATTAAACCAAATTTTATACGGCCAAAAACCCTAGCGCCATCCTAGCACCAAAACATTTGATTAAAAAAAAAAATGCTTTTACAAAATTGGAAATTGCACATTTATTTTCTAGATGTCAAATTGTGCAATATGGTAAATTTTAAGCGTAGCTAGAGATTTGTGTCCTAATTGCCACATTTACAACCTTAGTCATATTGTTGTGAGAGTTCTGACTACAGCTACTTCCAACAATGTTCAGAAGCTTTTTGGATGAAGCTTTATGGATGAGAGGTGAAACAGCAGAAGAAGACCAGTTGCCTTCTGCTTTGTCAGTGATGACTGGAAATCTACACCAACATATCATCTCAAAGGAGCAAAGGATGGCGCTTTTCCACAAGAAAGAAAAATCTAGTAGAGTCTGTGATGCTGTGTGCCTGACAATATGGACATAGAGTAAAAAACAGAGCATTAAGAATAATAAAGAACTGATGGACTCGCAGTGAAAGGAAAATCAGTCAGAATCTGATAACCCCAAACATCAGATCCAATCAACATGGGAATGGTTCACCAGACACAATATCAGCCTTTTCAATGGCCAGACCTCAATCTGTTAGAAAACCCGTGGGCTAATGCTGCATTACAGATGCACTAAAAACTGGAAAATTCTGTCTTCCCAGTCAGAAAAAACAGCCCCGATTGCCCTCTGAAATTGGATTTCCCACTGGGGAAACTGAGCAACTACGACTGCCCTTAGTTATAACTTGTAGGGTGGACTTTGCATTTCAATATGGCCACTCCTCACATCTACAGTAGTGAGATGTGAGGGAAACATGTTTACAGAACACAGGTGGAAGAATGCATCTTAAATCAGTGTTACATGTAGAGCCTGGAATGATGTGATGAAGAAATTTAAAGTGGTGTTTGTGGAAAGTAAAGCTTAAAATGTTTGTCAGAGCTAATGCAATGGATGGGTGTCGCCATGTTGAAATTCACACTTCTTAACTAGAATGCAATTATTTCTTAACAAAATAAAGATCTTGTTTTTCTAAACTTTTCAGTTTTGAGATTATGCCACAAGAATAAATGATGGGTTTATTTTGGGTCTATTTGAACTTCTTTTTACCAGGATGCTAAGAAATTCCTCCTCATCTGTCACCACTTGGTTTCCCCACACACCGACACCGTTTCTCCTCTAGAGAAGTCCTCAAAACTGGTCAATTCTAAGAAAGCTGATTCTTACAATGTAATCAGAGAAGAGTACTTCAGGAAGAGTGGATAAAAAATCCCGTCGGGGGCTCTGACTTTAAAAACATCTCGTAGATACATCATGATCTAGTTTTACAGGATTCCAGTGTTTGGAGAATCTTCCAACGTTGTAATTACTTTGTGCTTTTCTGCTGATTCTCATTCTGAAAATCTCCAGGATGCTTTCTAGGCCGTCAATCTTCCCTTGACAGTCAAAGCTCCTCAACCTGAAGGCCTTTCAGAGAAACACTGAGGCAATCTCAAACATCTGGAATCAGTGTTCACAGGAACCGATCCTAGACGTCATGTTGCTGCACATGCAAACTCCAATCCCCCTCTGCCCAATGTCTACTTGGATAATACATCCAAAACCAACAACGTGGTACAAAATATCAGAATAAACTTATATAAATAATTTAAATAGCCATACTAAAGCTGAAATCCTGGTCAAAATTTAAAAAAATAGCCACAGAGAAGTGCTCACATTGGTATGTACAATTAAGGGCAAATTTAAAATTACATAACTAGGCAATTTCCCAGAGCCCAAAGGGAAGGAAAACTAAGATTGGACTGTGAAATATTGGTTCACAGCTCTCCTTCAGCAGAAAGGTAAAGTCCTACATTGGGAACGATTTAAGTTGACTTTTCTCCGTCTACCCGTCACCCAAAACGTGCGACAAGTCCTCAAAGTCACAGTCGAACAGTTCGCTGATTCCTTCATGGTCCTCCAGTCCAAAGTGGTAGTCGTGTCTATAGGGAGGGGAGAGGTTGATGAAACTGTCCAACGGGAGAGGAAGGCCTTCTCCGTTCAGTAGGTCCGAGGACGAGAGAGGCGACAGGTCGAAGTGGCTGATGTCCCCCAGGCTGGAGAACAGGTCTCCCCCCAGGAGAGATTCTGTTGACGAAAGCGAGAGGTGTGAAAAAAAAAAAAAAAAAAAAAAAAAAAATGGCGCGGGAACGCAGCCAACCACAAAAGATGCTAGAGTTTTGTTTAAGCACTGTGGTGAAACCGGTCGTTCCTGCTGAGAGATTGATCAACTTCTGAGATAACCAAACATGTCAACAGTAAAAAAAAAAAGAACGAAAAAAATCCTGTCAAACATGCGATGTAGGCACTGGAATTTAGTCTGTCTTTACACTTATCTAGTTAATTACTGGAGCAACATTTCAGCAGACGATAGCTAAAACCAATGAAAAACAGGGTTTCCCATGCTCTTTTTATATGTGATTTCTGATCTATTTAGGCCCAACAGAACACCTTATAATTTTATTTTTGTTTTTTATTTTCAATTTTACAGCATTTCCACTGTGGTGGACAACAAGATGATTTACTTCTGTCATTACGACCTGAAAGAGACATGAAAAACGAATAGGAACTGATGTTAACTTAAATATGCATTCAGTTTGATTAAAAACAAATTTAGTTGAAAGGAACCTTATTGCGGTCATGTGGTTATGGTACGTTCATATTTTCACACACCATTCATTCACCCCGCCCCGCCCCGCAGTAACCCTCTGTGTGTGTGTGTGCTGCTACTCACTAACCAAACACCTGATTCTCTGGGTAAACTCTGCAGTACATGTGGCTTTTCCCCCTTGCAAAGCACAAATCGCTGCTCGTCTTAATTTGATTTGATTGTTTCATCACTCTTATACAGTTTCCTCTCCTGAGATCAGCCATGTTGGCATCGTTATTGGTCTTTATCTTTTTGTGTGTGAGAAACATCTGAGTGTGAACTCTCACCTGCATCCCCACCCAGCACCAGCGGCGAAGCCTCCTGCTGGGAGGCCGCCGTTACCGTGGATGAGGTGGACGCTGGAGAAGACACACCCACGTCCAGCGCCGCTGCTCCGGTTCGGGTCAGCAGTGGCAGTTGCTCGGCGGGTGGCGTGGGGGATGGGGCGTGGGGGGGGTCGGAGTTGCTTTGAGAAGGGCTGCCACCCATCACGGGGCTGCACACGCCTGAGCTGTCCTCTGGACAGAGGAAGACGTCTATGGGACCCTGCGTGCTCCTGAGCGACACCTGGTAGCCCTGAGAGAGACGGACAACATGAAGGAGCGCCGCTCAGTCAGGAGGAACTCACACACTGCAGCTCCATTACAAACATGTCCAAACTTTGTCAATATTCCAATATTTCATTAAGCGAATTTATGCTCAAAATGTCAAACTGTGGACTTATAGGGTGAATGGAAACGCAGCTACTGAGGCGGGTTTCCTCTGCCCTCACCTCGTTGGGCTCTGTGACTTGCATCTGAGTCTCTGGAGGAGCTCTGACCACCATGACCAGCTGGTCTGGGGAGTCGAATGACTGCCGCAGGTCCTGACAGCGCACGTAGCCCAGCCTGCTGGACGCAGCTGTTAAAGAGCTAACACTGCTGTTTGCAGGTTGCAATGTTCCAATGTTGTTTTCTGATTGTTGCAGTCTTAAATGACTAAAGCTTTTAGTCATTTACACCACATGGTTGTACAAAAATTTTTTGAAATTGTTGCATACGACCAGAATAAAGACGGGATTTTAACATCATATTTAAATTGCAAATTACATTTCCAAGTTCCTTCTTCTACTTTATGCAAATAAAATCACCTCCTGTGTTGTCCCAGTGCAAAAGAAGAACTCCATATTGGTCATTCAAGTTAACATAAACTGTATAAGCAAACCATACAGAACATCTCAAAAGAAAAAAAGGCATATGTTACTGTTTATCATTATGCATGCTTTGTCTTTCAAGAGATGCCTTTATCGTAATTAGTTGAAAATCGTCTCAAAATAACAATATTATTATTTATCTCAATAATTTCTGGAACTATCTATTGTCCAGCTAAATGTGTTGTTGTGACAGGCCTAAGTATGAATATTTCTGCAGGTGTACAGCCATCCAACCAACTGATGAATCAAACCCGGTCACTCAGACAGCATTCACTAGAAGGAGTAAAAGGATATTTCTTGTTCTGTGGTTCCTCGGTGAGCAGCCGCAGCTGCAGAGTGCATTTAGAGATGAGTTCATCCAGCTGCTCCTCGGCCTCAGTCAGGTCACACACCTCCCTCTGCAGCTCCTTGTGCCGGGACACCAGGCTGGTATCGATGCGGTTGCCGCTGAAGAACAACAGTTGGGTTAAAACTCAGAAGTTACCCCGGCAGTCTGGTTTGCTCTCACACTCACAGCCACTGGATGTTGTTCTTGGACTTCTTGGAGATGAGCTGGATTCCCTCCAGGACATTAGTGATGTCATAGATGCGTCTCTTCTGGACATCCAGGACCTGGGAGGCCCAGTTCAGGTCCACCACGCCGTCGGCTGACTGCGACAGCAGGTTCAGGAAGCGCTTGGTGGTCAGGTTTAGGGATGTGTCGTATCGGGACTTCTCCGTCGAGCTTCGAGGAACTTTGCAGAAAACAAAGAATGTCTGAGTTTACATTTCCTGAAGAATTCAAATTCATTCAAAAAACAAGTCAAAGGGAAATTAAACGTTGCAGCAACTCATATTCATTTAAGATTCTGATAGTGATGGCTGTGGGCAGAAAGGATCTCTTGTAGCAGTCTGTGTTACAGATAATTTGAAAAAGGCTCTGACTTTTCTATGAAGAGGGAAGTCTGATGAAGAGGATGCTCAGGATTAACAGAGGCTCCTGGTTTATTTAATGTTCTGCAAACTGAACCTCCATTATAGGGCTCCTGCTCTCGAGTTCAACATTTTGCAAAATCTTCTTCCATAGTACTGCACCCCATTTCATCTGGTACATTACAACTTCAAACATTTGCCTGTTTAATTATTAAGCACAAAGTAGGACACAACTATGATGTGGAAGGAATATTTGGCTTCATTGTTCTGACATCACTAATAAAATCCAGGGCAATGGATTGTCTACAGAAGTCATGTAATTACCAATAACATCATATTTGTGAGTAGTTTCATCTCAGTATAAATCCAGTTGTTCTGTGAAGGCCTCTGAAGAAACATTAGTGATTAAACAACAAGATGAAGATTAAGGATGTTTTCACATCTGATAGTCCAGAAGACTCGGTTTGATTTGGAACCAAAATTATAACATTTGTTCCATTTTCAGCTGCTGTGTCAAATAAACCAAAGTGTTTGAAAACCTGTTCCTCGTCAGTCCTGTGGGAGTGCTGCACCAAGAATCGCTGAAGGAAATGACATGAAAGCCTCCAAAGAAGAAACTGAGAACAACTTCCTTCTTTACAAAATGTAAAAAAAAAAAAAAAAAAAAAAAAAGGAAAAACACAAATTTTTATCTTTCACAAATTTTTTTTTTTTTTGT